GGAAGTCCACCTCTAAGCTCTGTTATTATCTCTTCACGATGACTCGGGAAGACAATAGAACCACATTCAAGAAACAGAAGATTCGAGACGGTGCATCGATGAACAACTTTTGTATCGTTGTGGAATGAGGTCAAGCATTTCGAAAGAGGAACTTCTGGTGGGAATCTCGAAGCGGATGTGTCTACACGATGATCTCCATGGGGGACGTCAAGGCAGCTACACTGAGACTATTCTTGGACATTCTTTCATTTTAATGCAGTTTCTGTTCTAGCTCTTCATGTAAGACGACCCGCCCTCCCTTGGAATCGCTCAATCCAGACTGACGCTTACTGCTAGCGCTGTGTCACCGATACACCATCCATAGATAGATTCGTAACTGCGGCAAACATTTCACGATCTGGAGTTGGTTCAAACACTCGTATTTCCGCTTAGGATCTGCTCAAGAGTATAGATAACAATATGCAACTGGTTCGCTATTAGCAATAGGAGAAAGATACTCACTGTCAAGTTATCCGCAGCAAATTCATGTTCTCGAACCGTGAAGTCGAATTCTCAGTCTTCAAATGAGGAAGTCGCGGACTTCTTGGCAGGGAACACAGGCCCACCACTGACACCTTCCGTACGAGCCGACCCCGCCTCACCCAGGTGACCACTTTCTTCTTTGTGGTTCCAAAACAACCATAAAAGCTACTGTAATGTTGTCTGTTCTTCAACAACACAATCCTCAGTCATGTTGTCACCTGTGCCGTCTACGGGACAGGCCGCGACCGATATCATCTCAGAGCTTAGCAAGTTCACCCCGGAAGTGATCAATGATAGCCTGGAACAGCGTCACAAAGCCATAGCACTGAGTAAGAAACTGACGGCGGCTCTGGAAGGTCCAGTGAATACAGCAACAGAGCTTGTTTTCAAAGTAAGTCGTGTTTCTTCAATAGTCATAGACAGTTCTGACTGCGAGAACAGCCTTTCTTGTCGATTGCGGCCCGGATTGCCGTTGGCCTGGATCTGTTCACGCCTATCGTGGCTCGTGATGGCACATCAATCACCTCCGAAGAGCTAGCCCGGGTCAGTGGCGGGGAGCAGATGCTTATATGTCAGTGGTTATCGTACCTGTCGACCATGTGATAAATGCTGATGAAAAACAGCTCGCATCCTCCGCGTTATGGCTTCGATCGGATTTGTCGAGCAGGATGGTCTATATTCTTGGCGAGCGAACGAGACTACTAAAGCCATGGCATCTCCACCTATCGCCGCAGGCCATCGATTCGTGTAAGAGATGTTGGTCTTCTTTGCTAGTAAAAGCTTGCTAACTCGCTCAGATTCGATGCACTGATATCCTCAGCCATCAAAGCACCCAAGTATCTCCAGGAAGTTGGCTGGAAGTCTCCCACAGAACCACACGACGGATTTCTACAATACGCCAATCAGACTAAATACCATGTTTTCGATTACCTGATGGCTCAACCATCTTTGTTTGCCGACTTCAACCTCTTCATGGGAAATACTATGGGGAGCCGCAACTACTGGTGCGACTGGTACGATGTCAAAGGTAGACTTCTGAAGGACTTCGATCACGTAAAGGGGTCTGCGCTACTAGTAGATGTGGCGGGCGGCAAGGGCCATGACTTGCAGGCATTCCACAATAAATATGCCTCCAAAGTTGACGGAAAGAGCGGCGACCTCGTACTTCAGGAGATGGCGAGCGTTATTGCTGGAATAAAGGATGGCGAGTTGGACACCTCGATCAAACGAATGGAATACGACTTTTTTGAACCTCAGCCCGTTCAAGGTAAGCCATTCATTCCTGCCTCCAGAAAGGTCAGACACATACTGATTGAACAATATAGGCGCCCGCACATACTTCATGCACCATATCTTGCACGATTGGTCAGATAAATACTGCAGGATAATCCTAAAGCATCTCCGCGAGGCTATGCAACCTGGTTATTCCAAACTTCTCATTCATGATCTCATTCTCCCGGACACTGGCGCTGCAGAATTTCAAGCTCGTTTCGATCTTACAATGATGACTTTTAATAGTGGAATGGAGAGAAGTGGAAGAGAATGGACCGTGTTGCTCGAGAACGCGGGCTTCAAGGTCACAGGCATATTCGAGCATTTCGATGCGGACGGTATTGTTGAAGCCGAGGTTAATCTCTGAGGACGCACGAGTATATTCGACAAAATCCGTTAGATATTAAAGGGGTCGAAAACATCTGTAAGGTCGCCCACGTATTCCACATGCGATGAAAGTACTATAGATAACATCAGGCATTGTGGAAGCTGTGTCGAATCTTCCCAGCCATGCTACATTGTAGTCGGCGTCTCGTATGGAAAGCGCCTCTAGATAGGCATCCGACAAAACCATAGAATGTTCGCATCTAATTTACACCTGTGGTAGTATACGTGATATATGTTGTCTCGCTGGCCTTTTACATCGGCTTGACAGATCACGCGAAACACTACGCGTTATATCAGGAACGCAGGAAGCCCCAATGAACTTTTACTTTTCACACACAAAAAAGAAAAAAGTGCATCGAGCTTATCGTTGCAGATGCTGTGCAAGCTTAAGGACACCGCCCGTACTTCGGACATATTATTCTCCACCGGCCAGCTTCCAATTAAGCATTTACTTCATCTCGGCAACGTTTGATCGTCGACCAGGTTCACTCATCACCAACATGTGAGCGATACCTCATCTGCCCATCTCCACACCACGCCGAAGAGTTCTTCGCACCGGGCCGAAGCTCATTTCGTTTTGATTGTCCAGAACTTTCTTGTCAGGGTTAGGCCCGCATGTGCGGACCCGAGACCGCGTTCTGATGCTCACGATGTCATACAGAAGCGTGTCAGGGAGCCTTCACCTCCTCATAATTTCCACATGTAACGGTCGGTAATCATACCACGGAACTAGCGATGCCGCTATGAGCATAGTACAATCCATCGTAGCGCCCGCATGAGCAGATTTACTTCGTCTTCAAAATGAGGACGTCTCCCTCTTGCCTCTGGGATCTGTTCACACTCACACTCCACACTCCTTTGAGCTAACTTTTGCAAGTCGCTGGCTGCTTTCCATTCGTTTCCGTGTGCATCAGTAAGATTTTTGAATCGTTGAATCGATTCCGCTCGTTATATATTGAAAGCTATTTGCTTCAGACACTCTTTACATTTACTCGCAGACTACTTGCCTTGGTTTGAACATATCGATTGATTGAATTCGCCAGCATGAAGTCCATTCTCAGTATCGTTCCCTTCGTGGCTGTCGCCGCCGCTCTCAACGACCAATGCTCTCTTGTCACCGTCACTGAAACTGTATACGCTTCGCCCTCTCCATATGCTCCCGCTTCAGCAACAACACTTTCAGTTAGCACGAAGGAGAACGCATACCCAGCGTCTGTTTCAAGCGAGATCAAGACACCTTCTTCATACCCCGTCTATCCCGTTGCATCGACTTCTTGCGACCGCGAGACTGTGTCCGTCACTACCACCAACAAGGTTACTGTGACCATTGGTGCAGGTTATGCTACCTCTTCCGCCTACACTCCAGCCCCAAGCAGTGTCGAGAAGCCCGCCTATACTCCTGCCCCAAGCAGTGCCGAGGAGCCCGCCTACACTCCAGCCCCAAGCAGTGTCGAGGAGCCCGTATACAGTCTTTTCTCTAGCCCATATCCTGCTGCCCCGGCTCCTTCAGCAGCTGTCCCAGAACAGAGCAAGCCGGCAGCCATTCCGACATACGAGGAGCCTGCCAAACCAGCCCCATCCAAAGAGCCAGTTGCCCAGGAAGAAAACACCTCTACTCCTGAAGTAAGCGCACAAGCAACATCTGGCAAGGCCACCTTCTACGGAGGCAATATCTCTGGCGGAACTTGCTCTTTCACTGGCTACACCCTTCCCAGCGGTATGTTCGGCACCGCCTTCTCCGGCTCAGCCTGGAATTCCGGCGCCAATTGCGGTCGGTGTGTGAATGTCAAGGGTCCCAACGGCCAGACAATCAAAGCAATGGTAAACTTTTTCCTTCGTCCTTACAAACGCCTCCAAACTAACCCCGCCTAGATCGTCGACCAATGCCCCGAATGTGAACCCTCGCACCTCGACCTCTTCCAGAACGGCTTTGAGAAAATCGGCACTCTCTCCGCCGGCATCATTAAGATCTCTTACGACTTCGTTCCTTGCGGCATCACCTCTCCTATCGTACTCAAGAACAAAGAAGGCACCAGCCCCTACTGGTTCTCGATGCAGGTCATGAACGGCAATACGGGTGTCTCTAAGCTCGAGGTGTCGACTGATGGGGGAAAGACCTGGAAGGCTACCCAGCGCCAACCCTATAACTTCTTCGAGAACTCGGCCGGATTCGGAACACAAAGTGTGGATGTCAAGGTTACTAGCATTGACGGCAAGACCGTGGTTACCAAGGGTGTTAGCATACAGGCTGGCAAGCTAACCACGGCGGGTGGTAACTTTTAAATTTGAGAGAGGAAGATGGGTGGAGGGTGTGGGTTGGATGATATTTGATGGGTTCTGGTTATGATTGAGGAGGATTTATGACTCCGATGTGCAAGAGTTTGCATCGGTTCTTTTCGACACTGATTTCTTCGAGTTCGCTTCTTTGTATGTGTTAGCCCACCATTTTTGGTTTCGAGGACTAGATCCTTGAGTTTTTTTTGAGCGCACATGGCGCCATATGCATAGTATGTAAGAGATGCAACATCATTCGCACTCACAATTCTGTTTCCATTGTTACATTCGGTATGTTGTGATCAGACCCATATATTGGGCGTGGAATTGAATTGCTACCTAACAATCCTCGAAAATTTCGTACTGAACCCATTGACTAAGAAGAACGCTGGAATTCCGACTTGGAACATGTAAACTCTAAATAAAAAAGAGCAATATTGCTATCACTCCATCTCCAAGAAATGCCAAAGGAAAGAACAACAGCCTCAAACCAAACAAGCCCGTCAAGCTCCCTATCCCTCCATTGATGTCTTCTTCAGTATAAAGGTTGGCGCCGAGGACTCGAACCTGGATCTTCTGGCAGAAAGCACCAGCTATGCTACCCTTGCAATACACCAACTGAAAAAATAATAGAAGGCATCAACAAAGGAACAATAAGCTCAACCGGATCTTCTCCATATGTATCGGCGTCTCTCTGGTTGGCGCCAGGAATCGAACCTGGACCTCCACCCGGAAATAAGGTCATGCGAGTATGTATGCAGCCGTAAAGTATGTATGTATGTATGCATGACCTCAGGGGTGGTGTGCTACCATTATACTACACCAACAAAAAGATAATGAGATACCGACAGATATATGGAGAAGATCAGATTATCGCTTTGTGTTTATCGACGTCTTCAGGATGGTTTGGTTGGCGCCAGGAATCGAACCTAAACATGACATGCTTGTGAGAACATTGAGTTAGCTACTTCTGTCAGGGAAAGAAACTCACACTGGGTCTCCCTGCTTTAAACAGGACATGATACCACTACAGCACACCAACTGAGAGAAGCTGAAGATGTCGATGAAGACACTAATGACTTCCAAGCCGTTGGAACTTTGTCAGTGTATTCAATGTTTGACGGCTGGCACTAGTAATCGAAACTAGATCTTCTCACTAAACAAGGGGTGAGATATGCTACCGTTGCACCATACCAACTGGAAAAAAGAGCATTGAAAACACAGACAGAGTCAAGCCATTGGCCAGAGCCATAACCCCATGTATCCTTGAAAGGTTGGCGCCGCGGAATTGAACCCTGAAGGATTGTCATGGTAAGCATCGTGACGGAAAATGAGCGTATTGACTAGGAGTGACTTACGGGATCTTGGAATGCAACTTAAACCTGTGTTACCATTACACCACACCAACTGAGCTATGGATACTGAAAGGCTGTAGGCCATGGTCGACTAATACGACAAGAGAAGGGTGAGAAACCTCGCGGCATAGTGCAATGAAGAATAAGAAGTCTTCAGAAAGAATCATGAGATCGTAGGAAGCCATGGAAGATGATGTAGCATGAGCATATTGGAGGTATTGGTCGAAGTTTTATACCTCAGGGATTAAACGTTGACTCATAACTGGGTTTCTTTGCTGCCTAAAAACACGTGTTTGAGTGGAAACCTTGGCCCATTGTGGAAGGTTCCAGTATTGGGCGATTTATCCAGCTGGAAAGGAATCTTCTAGAGCCGTGAAATATCTAGGGTCTCGGTCCTGTCAGTAGCTGTTCCAGTGCAGGTAGAATGAGTAGGGATCTTGTAGTTTTTTCCCTCTTTCAATTTATGCCATAGAACAATGAAGAGGCACTCCCACGCTGCGAGTTTGAAGGTCGGCACACACGAATCGAACGTGGGTCTTAGATTTAAGTTCCTAATGTTCTTCCACTAAACTATACCGACGAGTAGGAACGCATGCGTGGGAGACCCCTTCCTGTCTACGGATTGATGGGTGGTTCGAGAAGTAGTTTCCCCCATCCTGCCTCAAGATTCCTACAGCTGAGATTGAGGCTGAAGTTGAACAAGTCGGTGAGTCGGAGTGTTAATATGAAGGCATTATTTCGAAGCCTATGGAACGTGACCAAGAGGTCGAGCTGAACGATCGGCATGGGGCGTAGATGGCCTGAACTACTTCGGTTGCAATGAAATCCCAATTTCATGCATGCTCATGTAAGATTGTGTAGGAAAATTGGAAATGAGATTGACATCCAAAAAGATGAGTGGGAATGGAACGGAAGAGGGGCGCGGGGTGAGGTGTTTGTGGGGGTTTAGGCAGCGGGGAATTTCAGCTGGCGGCATCGGATCGGCGAGCGAACCAATCAAAATTGGCAGCACATCAGCTGACGTAAGTGCAGGTCCCTGAACACACAATAATCTCATCCGTACAGCCACTTCGGCACGCCCCATCAGGCTTGAGCTTCATTCATGCTGGCGTGCAGCATATTTGGACGTTCAATAGAAGCTTGATTGTCGATATTGCATTTGGGGGATACCAGAGCATCGCAATGGCTTCTCTCCCGTTGAGTAGGACGGTGAACCGACCAGTGAAGACATGCACAGAGTGTAAACAGGTTAAAGTATGGACATTTAAAGCAATGCCTAGGCATTTGAAGTTGTTGACTTAGATCAGTTACGATGTGATTCCAGAGAGAGGTTTCCTGCACCCTGTACGCGCTGTCAAACAAGACGCCTGCATTGCACTGTGGACTCCAACTTTCGACGAACTCCAGCCCGAAAGTACGCTATTTTCTCCCAATGCTTGGTACCCCCCTCATATTGATTTTCTTTCTCCTAGACGCGTGGAGGAGATGGCACGTCAACTTGAAGAACTCAAAAGTCAGAGGGCGGACGAACCGGGCAAATCAACAGAATCGCCATCCTTCGGAGACGTTTCTGATGTTTCCCCTAATTTTGATGTCGAATATCCATACAGACTCACTTTCGACGATTCGGATCTGATCAAAGAGCAATTTGAATTAGCAGACTTCGTCATTGACAGAGAAACGGTTGTTGAAGTGTATTACATGTAAGTCTTCCGAATCTTGTTCTTGTTCGACCCCTAACGCCTCATTTTCCCCAGCTTCTCATACCATTTCCACCCTCATCTACCAATGTTTGAGCCGTCGCATTCAATAGCGTTCATCCATGACTCTTCTCCCTTGCTTTTCTGGACTATAATAGCTATTGTATTGGCACGTCAACTAAGGCCGAATCACGGTGACCTGTTCAAACTGTTGGAGAAACCATTTACCAAACAGCTTAAAAGCGACTTTCTGAGTGCTCCTTTACCAATACACACTATACAGGCTCTGTTATATCTGATTACATTTCCGTTTCCTACGGACAGCCAGACACGAGAGCCAAGCTGGTTATACTGCGGAATTGCGCTCAACGCGTCATTGTATATGGGCTTACAAAAGTCCAAGCCGACGCAGTCCCTTCGAAGCATTGGTGTAGTGCCTGGAACGATCCGCGCACGGGCGAGGACTTGGCTGGCATGCTTCGTGGCAAGCACATCGTAGGTTTGACTCAATTTTGACTCTGGAGCGTGTTTTAACCCTTCACAGACTTAGCTTGTTCGTTGGATCTTCGCCCTTAATCCACTCAACAGGAGAATTGGAAAATATCATGAAATTTACGCATGAGCAACCATTACCATTAGAATACATGTACGAAATCACAGTTCAACATACCTTAGCGAAGTTTACTAGTGTACTATTGAACGATGCTAGAGCTGCAGTCAATCTCGCAGTTGTCCAGCTGGTCGATGGCGAACTAGATGGACTGAAGGCAAAATCCCTTGCTATGGACTGGACCTCCCGAACGGAATACTGTTTGCTTGTCGCAAAACTGCACCTTTACGCTATGACAGTCATCAAAATGCAATCGGATATAACTTCAAGGAACATACTCCTTCAGCTTGGATTGTCCGTATCTCTGAGGATTGTGTATCTTATGGAAAGAGGCCTTGGATATGAATCAAACCAATACACGGATGTGCCAGTGGATTTACTCCCCCGAACCTGCCCTAAGAATCATTTCCGAGGACTTCTTCTTGCATCCATATTTTTACTACGATACTTTGCTTTGAATGATCATGCGACAGCTGAAGAGCAAGAACTCGCCCGTAATTCCGTCTCGATCGCGCATACATACTTCAAATCAATATCTGCAGAACCCAGTGATGAGCAGGATCGGGGCGCACGCCTCCTCGCTTCTCTCAGCCGACAAAAGCCTGTTAATATTGACAACTTCAAACCTCGAGTGGATGATCGTCTCGGAGCATCTTTACTGTACGATGCAATCACAACTGGTCATGAGCTCCGGAATGATAATATTGAAGCAGAGGAAATCATTCCAGCGACAGTAACCGATACGCCTGATGTGGCCGACTATTCTTCCTCACAGCATAATATCGTTGTTCCAGAGTTTGATACAGATCCTATGGAAGGGCTGAATGATCTGGATTTCACCCTTCCAGCGGATCTCTGGGGCGATACAATGTGGGGCATGTTTGACTTCAATATGGTCCCACCACCACCGCCTAGATGAACGTTGCTCGGAAGGTTTCTTTCTTTCTCAGTCAGCTCCAAAATACAAAATGAGAATTGAGATTCAAAACATAACAGTAGAAACGCCATTCGACTTAAAAGCCACGAGCACCGACGACAGTCATCGACCAACGAATATTATGGCGCCAATGACGCTCCCAGAGTCTGTACAAAGTCCTTCGGTAGTTTCATGTTCAGCAAACCAAGATACTTTTGCGATCCGTGAACGTCGTTCTCCATATAACCTCCATTTGGCTCAATCTTCCCCTTTCTAAGTCTCGGGATCGTGGCTTTGAATGCGAGTGCTTGGTCGAAAAATCCAATCCAGATGATGTCTGCCTCTTGCACTCCGAGAAGATGGGATACAACGGTTTTATTCAAGATGTCGGAATCCTTCACAAGTTGATACACTTTTTCTGTATCGAATAATACGTCAAATGTAAGCTCGAAAGGACCGGAATTTTTCGATCGAAGTACGCTTGCCAGATCACCCAAACTTTCTGGAAGTTTCTGCTGTTGATCATGCGCTTTTTGCATCTTGGTAGTTCCACCATATGTATGTTCCTCAATACCCTTGGGCCCAAGTGGCTCGAATGGGATTCCGAACCCATTCGTGTCCTTAACGACAAGCTTGTTCTTTCCTTTTCCGATTGTTCCAACGACTTGGGAAAATAAACCATTTTCATTCTCGCTATTCTTCAATCTCTCCTCTCCTTGCGTCAAGTTCATTAGATGATATATCGAAAATTTTGAACATGGCCCTAGGTCAATTATCATTTTCCCACCCAAACCGTATGCAAGATTCCCGGAGGTAGCTTTCTGACCCGGGTATGGAGCATGCTGCACACAATTAGATGCGTTTACGCCAATATATATCACACTCACCACCGTCGCAATTCGGGCTGCACTTGCGATGCTGCTGGCTAAGTCTTGCGTATCGGCCAGGGCTTCGCCAATTAGGAATACTTCCGAGGCCTCTCCTGCATTTTCCGGCAACGCAGAGACTTGATCTCGGCCATACGTATGAAAGTCGAGTGCCCACTTGCCGCCTACGTCCTCATGCTGCGTTGATACATAGCCTTTTATGCGAGGAAGCAATATATCTAAATAGCTAATCAGGATTGCTGCAGAGAGGTCAGCTCGTCGTATGATGATGCGGGGCTCAGACTCTTGCGCAGGACCCACTTACGATCTTTGAAGCTTCCCATATACATAGCTCTATAGCCAATGACACTGGCCGCTTCCAGCTTCACCTGGTACGGTAGCCCTGCGTCCCTTGAAAACGTAAACATTCCCCCTCTTACTCTCAACGTTCTATCATTACTTAGTTGCTCATACCATGTTTTAGTCAAATCCAAGTAACCACCAGGACCGCTCAGAATATCAGGCCGACTCTTCTCATACAGCCCATGCGCAGAAACAGATAGAGGCGTGCACCTTGCGTCGGGGTCACTCGGAGTAATGTCAAATGTGCCATTCGTGTACACCGTTACACTTGCTCCTGCACACTTTGGCTTTGCACAAGATCCTCCGCATTCCATTATCTTACCCATATGCGTAAAGCCACCCCAGAGTTGCTTGCTTTCCGGAGACGATGTTTCGGAAAGGGAAGTCTTTGCTACAAAAGCAGCGTAGGCAACATAGGGTGATGGATCATAGGCTCGACCTCCTACGATAACATTGAAGTCCGGATTTGCGTTCATAGCGTCGATGAACGGCTCAGGACCCATTTGTGAAGCGATCCGAGGGACGGAGTCGATATCTTCCGCTCTCAAAGGTGGTACCACTTTTCCGCACTCACTGATAGCATTTTCACACAATCGTTCTCGGACGAAAGCCTTCTCAATGTTCGAGAAAATTCCGATCGTCTTGAATCGGCATTCTCTATCATCTCCTATCAGTACAGTCTACTGATCACAAAAAAGGATTTTCGACATACTCATTTCCATCTTCCTCGCATATCTCTTCAATTACATCCATCAGTTCCCTCACATGATCGTCCGTCCCATCACCCCCTGCCGAACTAAAAATCAAAGGTACACTAAACTCATGTACAAGCTTGAGCAGCTTTGTGAGATCGCGAACATAAGCGGAACGAGGGCATGTCATGCTTCCCAGCGCTAATTTATCCGGACCACTATCTGTAGATCCAGAGTCGAGTATGATAGCTGTGGGAATATTCGTCGTCACATATCGCCGAAGATCGTCTGCTGTTTGGTGTTCGTTCAACCCGTAACCCAGCATCCCAATTGGAGTGACAATATGGCATACTGGAGTTAGGTCGTCGTTGCCGTGGGAGTGTAGCGCAACTGCGCCGTTGTTGATGTTGCCCATGTCCAAAGTTTGAGCACT